GCTCTCTTGCCAAAGCCTCCCAGTCAGGCTTCTCTCCACCCTTACCATAATGCAGCCCTCTGGGTGCTCAGGCTGCACTGCTCAGCTTAGCTCTCCTGCAAAGCTCCTACACCTCAGGCTGCCAGAAGGGAACTGCTAGCCAGGCTCCAGCCTGGCTGTTTATAAGGGCCCGGCCCTGCCCCCTTCTGGTCACCTGACCCACCTGGTTGCTCCAGCAACCAGCACCTGAGCTGCCCTGGCAATTAGCAGAGGCCCTAATCCCTACTTAGGCATGGGGCACCCGAGTGCCCCCATGACATAACCAAAAAAGGCTTCTGTTATTTCAGACTGGGGGGAAAAATAATTCATTTAAGACAAGTTATGCTAAAATATTAAACTATGAAGAGCAAAAAACCTGGGAAACCCTTTTGCTCTCTAGTAGTATGAGACCACATTAATATTAGTTTCTTTCCTATTTAACTAGGTATCCTTAGAAGCTGTAAAACAGTAAATAGATTTGTTGAACAAAACCTGTTTTCAGATGTATCTGTTAGGACAAGCACAGATTCAAACACATTCACTTCTTATCTGATCTCTACAACTAAAGCTACGTCTTCATCTAAATTTTTCCCCTATTGTAATATCAATTTTGTGTAGTTGAGAGTATTACATCCACAGTAAATAGTTTTCAGGTCTGGTAAATGCTGTACCTTCTCTTTGACATTTATCTGAGTTGGCAGATGTTTACTGTATGCTGTATGACTCTCTATTGAACATCATGATGTAAATGGTTCCATCTAATCCAGGATTTTCTGTTTAATTTCTGAGCTGTGCAAAACTATATTGAAAACATTTCTAAAATTAAGAAGTACTAAAATTACTATATTTAATTTATCCTCTGAACTTTTGATTCTGTTAAAGACCAGTTAGCAACAGGTTATATCCATTCAGGGGCAGATCCAGAAGGGGTGCAGTGGCACCCTCCTTTTGAACTGGACCATGCCATGAGATCTTCTGGGGATTTTTTTTTTAATTCCCAAAGCACATAAGAATCCAACCCCCCTTCCACTTCATACTCAGAGGTACATCTGCTCCCCTTCCCATAGTCCCCACCTCTACCTGCTGCTGCTGCTGCTGCTTTCCCCTCTGCCCCTGGGGCAGGGAAACTTGTGCCAAAGCTACTTGTGCCTGCTCCAGCCAGTCTGCATGAGGACTGGGTTCAGCTGGGAACAGTGGCAGCAGCAGTGATGGATGGGGGGGGTGGGATCCCTCACCCTGCCTGGTCCCCCTAAACCCCCCTTTGCCAAATCTTGGATCTGCCCCTATATCCATCGGTACTGTTATCACAGTAGGGAATCAAATATTTGAACCATTAACAACATTTAATTTTTAAGTCTTCTGATGCTGGAGAAATGCATTAGAAAGTTAGCTGCCTTAAACTGGGCAGCCAAACACTGTGAGATGGCAGTTTGTAGTCAGTTCTATAATATTTAAAAATAAGAAGAATGGATCTCCCTCCCCTGCCTTCTCCCCTTCCCATCCTGCAACAGGGCGAGGGGTAAGAGACTGCAGAGACACAGCTTCCCTCGCTGGACTGCCTCCAAAATGGAGTTCAATCCCCCACTCTACCAATCCAATCACTAACATTGGTTGGGTCAGGAGGATTGGTCTGACTCAGGCGTGGGCAGTTATTTTGCCTGGAGGGCCACAAGGGTAGCTCCACCCCTTGACAGGTGACCTTTAGAAGTCCCACCCCTAACCCCTGGCCTTTGCCACAGGAAGTGCCTCCGTTTGCCCCCAGAAGTACTCCTTGGGGGGGAGGGGGTACTGCCATCATGGAAACAGGAAAAAAAATCATATACTAAAAGTCACAAACACCTACTATAATATATTTTGATTTTATTACAGAAAATATTTTTGTTGTGATTTGTGTTTGTATAGTGTGTATAGAGGTGATTGCATGACAGCTCATCAATGGTCTTATATATTGTGTGTGGGATGTGGTTGGGAGTGTGGGCTTGTGTATGGTATGCATGTGGGGAGGAGTGTGGTTTGTGAGAGGGTGTGGCTGTGTGGGGGGTGTAAGGTATGTCATGGGGATGTGTGTATATGTGGGGGGCTGCAGGGACAGGGTGTGGGTATGTGCATTTTGTGGAGTGTGAAGGAGAGTCGGGGGGTGTGGAGAGTCCTCCCCACAGTTCACAGCATCCATTGTCAGTCACAGCAGCAGCAGCACTCGTGGTCCACTCAGGCACTGCTGCCCACTTCCAGCAGAGTCCCGGGACTTGCACACGGCAGCAGGGAGTAGGGGAATTAGCCAGCGCCATCATACTGGGGCACATAAGTGCCAGGAGCTGCACATGCACTATGGGGAGCCTCACGTGACAGAGGAGGGCCAGCCTGGGTGTACTCCTCACCATCATGTGTAGCTCTGGCTGGAGCCACACAGCGCTAGACAGTAGTACCTGCATGGGTCACAAGCACTGCCAAGGGCCTGCTGCTGCTGCTGCCACTGGGAGCAGGGCCTGTGCACCGCGGCGGGGGAGTGTGTAGTAGGGTCCCCATCCTCTGCCCACCCGAGCTCCACACTCCTGCAGTCCCCCTTGTCATGGGTACTGCACTCCTGCCAGGCCCATGCTCCCTGCCCCTGCCCAGCTGCAGCTTCTCCCACCCCCACCGCATCCTTACCTGCTCTCTGGAGTGAGTAACTGCAGCAGGGAAATGATGAGAAACTGCTGGATGCTGGGGAAGCCGAGCAGGTCCTTTAGCAGCTGCAGCAGTGGCAGCAGCAGCCCCTCCCAGAAACTGTAAGCTGGCTGAACCAGGCCCTTCCACACATGAGGGTGGGAGTGAGGCATGCAGGCTAAGCAGGGTACAGTTAGCTGGTGGGCACCCATGGATCAGATAAAATTGCCTGGTGGGACATATTTTGCCTGCCGCTGATCTAACTCATGGTGCTTTCTGTGAAGTGCCGTGAGCTAGACTGGGGAGCTACACATCTGTCAGTGCCCAAATGGTTAATTTGCCAACTTCTGCTCCCAGCTGTATGCCTGCAGGCCTAACGCTCTTGTTCCTGTTGATCATTTCCTTAATCTATGCAAGTTTGAAGTATTGCAAGAGTTGGACATTTATAACAAAGAAATAACTTTAATTTGGTTTTTGTTTTTGTGAACTCTCAGCCACAAAAGTTTCTCACTCTTCTGCTATGGAAAGCATATAAAAAGGATGTGTGAACTGGGTTTTTATATTCTGTCTTTTTTTTTTTTCCAAACAGCCTTCTTGCCTAAATAATCAGCTGGTATACGTGGACTGCAAGAAAGGTACAATGGTCCAGGTGGACAGTTCTCAAAGGATGCTAAGAATTGCTGACCCGGATTCAAGATACAGTGGATTCTACAGCATGCAAAAACAGAACAACCTACAGGCAGATAATTTCTATCAAACAGTTTGAAGAATTTCATCCTTGCCAAGGATTTAAGAGAGAGAAATTGAGAGAGAGCGCGCACGCGAGAGAGAGAGAGACTGAGTCTGCTATTAAAATAAAACTAGAATTGTGCACTTGCTTAGTGGATTGTATTGGATTTGTGACTTCATGTACAGCTCTAAGACCTTACTGGGATGGGCTCTGACTCCTGCAATGTGCCAGAACAAGCATTCCCACTTTTCCTTGAAATAACTGACCAAGTGTTTTCTTAGAACCAAAGTTTTAAAACTTGTGAAGATGTATTTGCTTGTAACATAGCTCTAGAGATTGTTTGGGAGGGGGAAATTTGGGGTGGGGCTGGGTGGTGACATGAGAGGAAGTTTTTTTGAAGAAGAAAAGCTGGTCAAGCTTGGCTTGAAGAGAAAACACACAAAGGGCATTGCCAAGCATCAGGAGGGTGGCTTTTCCTGTTGCTCTAAAACTGCATTTGTTGCAGCAAAGCCTAAACCCATGTGAAAAAACAACCAACAAAAAGGTCTGATTTTTTTTTCAGCTGTTGCTACAATAATATACTCCTAGAACAGAACCTGTCACATCACAGGTATGGTGTAGCTGCAAATATTTTTCTATATGACAAGAAGCTGCAGTAGTTAACAATATAGCAAGAAAGAGGTTATAGCAGAATATAAAGGGTGGGTTTATTAAGGATGTATAAAATTATACCTTGTGCTGCTTTTCGTTTTTGTTTTGTTTTCTTCAAAAGCTGATTGGCCAGATTTTGGCAGAGTTAGCAGATGACTGAGGCATAAGTAATTCCTGATATGAGCACTGGATCTTTTGACAACCGTATTGAAGGAAGAAAGGAAAAGTCAAGAACACCATGCAGTTCCAGGGGCTTTGTTTGTTTGTTTGTCTTGTTTTTGTTTGTTATTTTGTATTAATCTCTGGTTGTTCATACCGTTTCAATAGAGAAGAAGGAAAAACTATTTTTGTTGGACAAAGCTCTTGTTTAAACGAGAGAGTAAAAAAGAGACTGGTGTAAAGTTTTTCCTGTTGTTGTTCTTATTTACTGGTTATGCAGATTAGAAACTACTTCCATGCTAGGAAGCTGCTTAATTTTAATTGTATATTACTCAAGCACCTTTTTGAAGCTCAGAAAAAAGGAGATCATGCTTCTTTAAACTTTAGCAGTATAGGAATATTTATGTAAATATAATTATGCTAAAAAACAACAAAAAGTATTTGTATGCCTGTGTGTATGTATATATACGTGTGTATGTATGCATATGTATTTATACATATGTGTATGTACATATACACACTACATATGTATATATACCGTATATATAGTATTTATATATATATATATATATATACAGTATATATATAATTTTTTATTTTTTTTCTTGTTGAATGTATTTTTATCTGAGAGAGATTTTACCCAGAGCAGAAACAGATAAACAGGCATTCCATATCAGTGCTTAATCACTTGTGAGTTTAGGAAAGACAAAAGGAGAGCATCTCATTCTACCTACAGTTTTATTTGATTTGAAAGTGTTTTGTGTGTGTGCGTGTGTGCGTGTATGTACATGTGGGTGTGTGTGTGCACTCTTGTGTTTGCGTGTGTACAGTATGTGCACGATTATAGCAGTAAGCGTTGCTCTTGCTACTTGCTACATTTCAGGGTGTTTCTTATTTCTTTTCCTGCTTGGCCTTAAAAAGGCTTTTAATGAATGAGTTGGCTAGAGACACTGATGACAGTATACATGCAGCACTAATCAGTTCCACAGAATAACACCATCAGCTCATGGATTTTATTTTTCAAACAATTGTTTGAAACAACTACTGGAATATTGTCCACATTAAGCTGGAAGTTTGTTGTAGCTTGCCTCATTTATAACTCTGACTGTATAATACAATGTTAACTTTCCAAACAGGTCTTGGCACTTTTATACTAATTACCCATTTGTGCATTGCCTTTTTTTCTTTTACAAATGCTTGTCATGAACGACACAGATACCCAGTATGCTTAATGTGAAAAGAAAATGTATTTTTTGTAAAGGAACTCTCAAGTATTGTTGTAAATACTTGGTCAGAGGTTGCTGAACTTTAAAAGTGAAAAAAAACTAATTTATTATTATAATGACCTAATTTATTAATCTGAAGATTAACAATTTTTTGCTTTAGAATATCAAAAAGGTGTTCTAGCTGTTTGCATCAAAGAAAAAAATAGGTATGTCATTAAGGGTCAACATTTTTTCTGTTTATAAGACTTCAGTTTCCAAAAACAAGTAAGAAAAAAATGTAGTCTCCCCAACATTTTGTACTTAATCTGATGAAACGGATATGTTTCTGTCCAGTCATTACAAAGATCCTGTCAAGACAAATCATCCATTCCTTGCATAAGAGTAAGCAGTCTTTATCCAGAAATTGTAAATGCTTGCTTTTGTTTTACAATCAAGGCCATATTCTGGAAATATTAGCAGGATATAGGACATGGTGTAAAATGTTTATTATTATTATTATTATTATTTTATTATTATTATTTTAAAGATATGATTTATCTTATGTGCTGTATCCATTTCACTCTTTTACTTTGGTTCCTGTTGTGCTCTTGTAAGAGAAATGCAGATATAATTTTCTGAAAAAATAAAATAGATGCATATGTGGCACTTGGAGTGCACTGCGGTTCGGCAGATTGCTTGTTTACTTTTTTAACTGTAAGGCGGTTTCTTGTAATTTGGCTCTTGGCAGCACAATAAAAATTTTAAACCTAATGGTACACGTATTTTTTGTAATTTTTCATATGTCTTACTTCCATAAAATGTTGCTTGAGAAACTAGCTTATTATATCTTAATTACAATGGGCCATTTTGCTTCCTTCAGATGTGAATTTGCACATCATTTTGACCTGGAGTTATGTAATGTTGGTCTGAACAAAGATAATGTCAGCTTGACCTGTTTGAATTAGGGACAGTTTTGTTGCGCAACTCTTAGGTTCACACCAAAACACTTTCCTAGTGACATTAAAAAATGTTCATTACTTTGTAAGAGTACGTTTACACAAAAGTTTGCAGCAGTTTGTAAATAAAGTGTCTCAGAAGAATAAAGTGGTCTCAGTCCTACCATTTACTTCACAAGGCCTGGCCACAACAATCATTTGGAGCCACAATGAAGTCAGTAGGATTCTATGCAGGTGTAAGGGACAATTATGTACATTTTCAGTTCCATAAGAAGAGACAGAGAGCCTGAGTGCAGTACTGGTACACATGCTCAGACCTGCTCTTGAGCTGTAGTGCTTCCTAGTTTGTGGATCTGGGGGAGCATGAAGTGGGTACGAGTGGTTTTATTTCTCCACTATACTCCCCAGGTTACCTTGGGGGCCATATAAACCTACTCAACAGTCCTAGATCTTGCTGGAAAAAAACTCCCCCCCCCCCAAGAAGAGAAAGAAATAGCCATAAGACTGCCTTATGAGGCCCCCTTGCATGGCCTGGTGTGGTATCAGGGCTGAGTACAACAGGAGACAAGTCAGAACAAAGCTGTAGCACTGAGATGTGCCACACAACAAAAGCCGCAGGGCCTCTTACGTTAAAAAACCTTTAAGGAATTGTACTTCATTATCAAAGTCACTGACTAACATAAAAGTTTACTCCTTGTCCGTATAATGTAATACATCCTACAGCCATAAACAAGAGCTCCTTTCATAGTTTCATAGTTTCATAGATTTAGGGTCGGAAGGGACCTAGTAGATCTTCTAGCCCGACCCCCCGCCAGGGCGGGAGAACAACAAAACCCCAAAATAAAAACGGGACTCAAATGAGTCCAGCCAGGTAGGCATCCAGCCTCTTCTTAAAGACCCCCAGGGTAGGGGCCAGCACCACTTCCCTTGGAAGTTGGTTCCAGCTCCTAGCCGCCCTAACTGTGAA